ACAACTATATTGCCAATAAAGAGCTTAGTTTTTTTCCAAAAACTAAAAGTTATTGCCAAACAGGGCATAGTGAAAATGTGACCCACAACGAGCCTGTTTATTTAGTAGTAGCTTGTAAAATGTAACAAGTAGTTTAGCAAAAGACACTGGGCAGGGCTGATAACACTCGGCCCACAAAAAAACGGTTGTCAGCCTCGAAAATATTAAAGGGATAACACACAGGGAGATGTCCATCTATTTTTTTTTTTGCCTTGACCTACACGTTAATCGTTAAGGAGCTACATACCCTTAATATTGCCAAACTCAGATGAGAAAGGGTTATATTTCAGCACACAGTTCAGGTTCAACAGCAGACTCATGACCTCTCCTCCACTGAAACAAGTTATTTTATTTTTCTATGTGTGACAAATATGATTACTTGGTGTGTAAATGCCAGTTAAAAAAATAATAATAATAAAAAAAAAGACAGACTGGTTTCTGGGTCTAAAGTTTATCTATGCGTCTAGTTTAAAAAAATAAAAATAAAATATGTTATTCCTGGTGACAGATGGTTTATATTTCTTATGGATGCCTTGTAAATTACAAGAAAAAGATGTACAATTTAGTATGTATTTCTAAATAAAGATGTACGATTTTTACAACCAGTTTGCTTTTTAATGTCATTTGTTTTTAAGTTAATAAAATAATCTCACCAAACGATTTTGCCTTTTTTGACATTTTAATCAAAAGTGATTTCCAGATGGAAGCCCTCCTGTGTACCAATGGCAAAAGTATGGAGAACAAAAGGTGGGATGCACATGCAGTCAGTTTAGGCTGTCACCCCACTGTAGCTCAGTAGGGAAAGGAAGCTGCAGAATTGTGTGATCATTCCATTGGGAACACAGGTCATCATAAGTCTGTTTTCAGCCAACATCACTGGAGACTGGAGGACCATTGATTGTGGATAGACCCAGTGCAATGGTTAAGGATATTTTTCCCAGAGTTCTTTTTTTAAGGTGTATTTCAACTTTTGCAGCCAAATTAGGATTGATCTTTTCTGAAAGTTCCAAAACTGAAGTCTTCCATTCCATTCCCTACAATTTCAAGGAGGGGACTTGAGGGAGGTGGAGAGTTAAAGTGACACTAAACTCAGGAGTTCAATCATAAAAATACATTTAAGTACCTTAACTAGTAACAAAAATCTATCTTATTTGTGTATAACTCGGCTGTAGATCCTCAAATCTTCTCTGACTTGGTGCTGACACTGTTATTGTAAAGCAGCCACAGCTCCAAACTCACTCCCGTGATGGACTATAATTTCACGTTTAGTATTGAGATTATAGTTCACCACAGGAGCGAGCTTGGAGCTGTGGCTGCTTTACAACAACAGTGTCAGCACCAATTTAGAGGTGACTTGAGGCTCTACAGCCGAGTGAGACACAAATAAGATACATTTTTGTTAATAGCGAAGGTACCTGAATGCATTTTTAAGATTTAACTACTGAGTTTAATGTCATTTTAAGGCTTACCATACCTAACCCTGTCTGTACTGTGCTTGCAGATCTCATTGCAAACTAGAGTAACACTCTCCTGACAAAGGGTTAAATCAAAATCTGTCCTCTTATAAGTAGCTTGCAGTCTGCCTAAAGGCCTCCTCCAAGCAAATAGCTAATAGATAATTAATACTTTATTTTTTAAATATTTTTCAGGTATGCTGCGTGATTGGGTTTTATCAAATTTAACTGCAAATGTGGAAATACACTTTAACACTTACCTTATTCCAGAAAATCAAAATGACATGGGAACATAGCAAGGACTAACAGACCAACTACTACAAGCTCTTCATCTTGGGCCCTGATAGAAGCTTCTGTGGACACCTCCTTTTTACTGCAGGGATAAATCATTTTCGGTATCCACTTGGGCTGCATGTTGGGCTTGGGTGCGACTGGATGTCAATCTATGCAGCCTTGACCAAACGCAATGACCAGTAAGTTTTATTTTTGGAGATCATTAACCATCATATACTTTTCTATATAAACACTACTGAATGTGAAGAAATATTTATTTGTTTTATAAAATTGAGTTTATATTATACAGTATTATTATTCACTTGCAAACATACAAAGATAGTAAACAATACAAAAAGGTGCAAAATATTTCCTTCATAGCTAGTGTTAAAAATAGGTACACAAATATAAGGCATTGATTAAACGAGTATACTCTGTCAAAGCTTACTTGCTTTTTTGTCTAATACCTGCTATCAAGAAGAAGCGCTTTATTGCATCTTCCTGCTCTACAAAAGACAAAATTCAACTTTTGTGGCTACAGCATAATGTGGGAGAGTTCTACATTGCTAACAGTAAAAGGCTCCCGTCTTATTTTATAATTGTACATTTAGGAAGTCAGACAAGAATTATTGTATTTATTGTATTATTTAAAGCTGATCACCAGGATATAAAAAACAAAAACCTCCCTTAACCACCTCCGGGCCGGCCGTAGTAAAAAAACGGCCGGCCCGAGCTCTCTAGATCTGAGCGAGCGTCTTTAGACGTCCGCTCAGACACGCCCCCCCGCCGGAAATGGTTGAAATTCTATTTACCCGACGTGACCCGATCTTTTATATTTTACCAAAAAACTGGGTAATAACAAATGTTTCCTAACATAATGTAAAAAAAAAAACTTTTTTCCCCCAAAATTTTCTGTAATTTTTCCTAATTATAGTAAAAAATAAAAACCCAAGTGGTGTTTAAATACCACCAAAAGAAAGCTCTATGTGTCCCCAAAAAATGGTATAAAATTAATTTCAGTACAGCGTTGCATGATGGAATAAATGTCAGCCAAAGTACCGCAGCGCTGAATACTGAAAAATGGCCTGGCCAGGAAGGGGGTCTAAACACCTGGTCTTGAAGTGGTTAATCCAGTTATGTATTCATTTAAAAGAATCCCTGAATGTATTTTAAATGTAAGTGCCTGAATCTGTAGTTAGTTTCCAGTAGGATCTATACTGTGGGGGGAAGAGAGGGTTGTCTGCTGAATTGAACAATGAAAGCAATCCAACACTGGGAGCTTGCTACCCGGAGAAGAGAAAATACTGTTTCATGCCTATTATGCTTATCTTCTATGCAGAAATACCTGAATATGCAAATTAAGAGTTCCAACTTCATGTACTGCATACTTTTTCTTAGTCAGCAGCCAAAAGTATTGTAGTCAGAGACAGGTCAGTAATGGCAGACTTCTTATTTCTGGCAGTACATGTCTCCTTCTGCAACTAGACAGCAATGACTGCTATTTACCGCAAAGCACAAAGAAGGAAGCCCCCCGCACACAGGCTTTGGGGGATAGTGCAAGCCAAAATATGGTGTGGAAAAACAGTTTCCTCCAGATAATGCATCCAAATCCTAAATGAAGCCATGGCTTATTAACCACCATTTTGGCTTATTTGTTTCTGAATTTTTCATCTGATTTAATCAGATGTCGTTTTTTTTTTAACGGTTTGTTCATTTTAAATTAACTGGTCAAATGAGGAGGAATTTATCAAAATAGACCTGTCCTGAACACAACAGAATTTCAAAGTGTATACAAACAGGTAACCAAAAACACACTAAAGCTGGCCCTATACAGTTCCATTTTTTTTTTGGTTCAACCTGCAGACTGATAGAAAAAAAAAAATAGAACCGATTCCTCCATTTATGCTTACGAGCGTTGATCAAGGAATCCCCTGCTATTTCCTAAACTAATGAATGATTCATCCACCCATTAGTCCCCCCTTTCTCCGCTGTAAGAGAACGGGACGGGCCCTCAGATACACATCTGTGAATGGTCATCACAGTGATCATATGGTACAGAGCCGCTTGTATGGGCTCTGTACACTGTGTCTATGAACCAAGCCGTCCGTGGATGGTTTCGCTTACAGCAATTAACAGGAACAGCAACAATTATTTCTGCATGTAATCTTTATAAATGGCATTGCAGAAATTAGAACATTCCATGTTGCCATTTTAAAACGTACGGCAGTACATAGGCGGTTAGGTAAACTGACAATCTATGCACCAGAAATTAAATTTTAGTGTTATTATAAATGGTGCAAATCACCGAATAAAGTTTTCAACAGCAATACTAGTTGTTTTAAAACTATCCCATGTCAAATATTTTTTTTTTGCCATTGTGTTATATTCATGAATCAATTGATCTTTCTTTACCAACAAACGATCTTTCCTTACCACCTGATAATTCCACCCCATAATTTAATCAGAGACTTGACAAACGTTAAATTATTTTTTTTTGCTTCAACATTTGATTTTGGAATGAATGGAGTTTCCTGAACGAAAACCACATTCACTGTTAGAATTGCATTTGTTCGAGAACATTTTTCCATCCTGCTCCTACGTTTTGTTTTTTTTGTCACTATGGCTGAAATTGATGATCTATTTGACCTCATTAACTATTAGAAAATTAAATAAAAGATCCTTCATACGAATGTTCTTTCAAAAATCTACTAGTGTATTGCCACCTTTAAACCAAACTGCAGCCAAAAGTTTTTAGTTTTGGATATTAAGGAAGAGTACATACCTGTAGTTATGTCATAGCTAGCTATCTGTAACTCCAATCAGACAAGAACTGAGGGAAAATCTCCCCATTAGGGACAAAACCATGAATGAAACATGACAGAGGGTATATCCTTCCCCCACTATGGCCAAAACATCGAAAAAAAGATTTAGCTGGAGTTGGGTTTAAATCTGTACAATAGAACCGCAATGACAAATATTTTATACATATTGACTGAACCATTGCCCAAACTTTGTTCATTGCTGCAATGCCATGCTAAAAGAACAGAATTATTACACTAAAGAGTTGCTTATACTGCTTCATGATTTACCAAAAAATAGAGAAAAAAAATTAAAAAACAGGTAGGTAGTGAGTACTAAAGGTGCCCTGCCACCATGTCATAACCTGAGTCAAAGCATAACTGTGGTGACTGTATAATATAGACGCTTTCACAGAGTGTTAGTAACAGTCATATGACATAGATATATACATACACACATTTATATACAAATCCACAAAGGTGGCTACACCGTAGCATAATGTCAGTGTGCACCAATGTTGCCAATACTGGTTAAAGCCACCTCAGTCCAGCCTTCAATTGTATGCTGAAATCGCCGGGTATTTCTTTTCCACGACAGCCGAGAATGGCGGGCACAATTCAGATTTCTAGCCATTAAGCTGTGATAATTCAAAATGGCTTCTTTTCTGAGAACAAAAACACATTTTTTTTGAACATTAGAATTTCGGAAAAGGCTTGTACAAAATGTTTCTTCCAATGACCTGAAATAAAATCAGAACTTCAGTCTTAATTTTTATGTTAAAGTTCCATGTTTTTTTTATGTTAAAGTTCCATGCTAATTAAAACAACACTTACAACCCTGCATAATAGCAAAAAAGAACAGAGGTTTTCAAAGCAAAGTTAATAGAAGAGGTTTAGACAATTAAGCACCAGCAATACAAATCTAAAAACATGATATACTCTGTTTGATGGGCTCAAACACACATGATTTCCTGGAGACAACTCCTCATTTGGGAGATGGCACCAATATTTAAGACTTTTCCACTGTGAGTATATTTATTTTAGGACTTGGGAAAATGCAATGCTTTCAGCCTTAGCACCCTGAATGAATGCCAGAGCTCCTAAGCCCTATACTAAGGGATGCTACAACAAAGCTCCTGTGTTGTGCCCCATAACACCGTGCTCTAGGGGGGGGGGTCATTTTCACAGAGCATTTCATATAAGCAGGGCTTTATTAAAAAAAATGCTGCTTAGAAAGCTGCATATGCACATATGACCACATAGTAGCTAGTGAGACTATATAACATTATTGTTAGATACAGTGCAAACAGCAATGATTACCAGCAGCCTTTGGCAACCAATACGTACTCAGCTTTTAGCAGCACGCTTAGCATGTGCCAGGGAAAACCATTTTTAAAGAATTGGTTGAAGCTGCAGAGAAGCATTAAAAGAACCCCAACTGTAAACGGCAAAGAAATGTTGACTCAGAATATAGTTTAGCTCCTGGCCGGCTGTTTTTTTACTACGGCCGGCCCGGAGGCAGTTAAGTAAACACAAAGACTGAAGAGAAAAAACATGGTTCTTTAACATACAGTCCCGTAAAACCAGTACAGCCTTCAAATGGCTGTGGCCTTGCTCAGGTAAAAGGCTTAAAGCACTGCTCAGGTAAAAGACTTAAAGCACTACTGGTATCAATGGTGTCACTAGCACCTGGTAAATGAGCTATCACATTGGCTTACAAAATTCCTGCCACCACACAGGGCTTCATTTCTTCTCCATCTACTTCTGGTCTTCCATGATTATACTAACTTGTGTCATATTCTTGCTCATGAAAACATCAGGGCTTCTGCCACCAACCACTGTTGGTGGTATGGAACTGTGCTACATGCACCTTTGACCAGTAAAATAAGGGTTGCGTTTGTTGCTTGCTAGTACTGAAAAAAACAGGCATTAGCGGGCAGGCCCATCTGTACAAAGTCGCCCCGAGACGCAAGCCTACATGTCCCGTCTCTGTCATAACATTTTAAACCCCCTTAAAATGAGAATGGGTTCATTAGGCAATATTTGTTTAATATTTAATTGCATAGTTTAGTTAAAAAAATCCACATAACTCAACCCCCGAAAAAAAGGATAATCCAAAAGACAGAAGACATAATACTGGAAGAGTGCAATGCCAGTTTGTGTAAAGCAGAATGGAAACATCCCTGTGTGTTAGTATATCAATAGAGCCCATGCAAAGGTTTGTAGAATACACTGAAATAGTTCAGGAACGTTACCTGGTGATCAATATCTTCAGTTATCAATGAGAGAAACTGTCATGTCACTGATAATAGATGGAAGAATGATAAAAAGTCAGCAGAATTTATTTTTATTATTTTAGTTACCACGTATTCAATTCTGCTTTGTTTTATAAGATTTCAAATCACTTGTACATTTCAGGTATATCTAAGTTTACCTTGTTTTATAGGATTTATAGTAACTGGTGCATTTAAAGTAGATCAAAAGCCAAAACACTTTTTTTCATTTTGAATAGAGCAGGGACAGTTTAAAACCCTGGTCAGGATTTTTTTTTTGTTCTCTCTTCCACACAAGAGGATATGTGGCTGTAAAGCTTCTCATTCATCCAGGTCATGGTATATCTGTAAAAAATAAGTCAAGGCAACTGGACTTGCTGTATTTTTCTTGAAGATGTTTCACTGGTCATCTAACCAGCTTTCTCAATTCAGAAACTTTCTGAATTGAGAAAGCTGGTTAGATGACCAGTGAAACGTCTGTACGAAAAATACAGCAAGTCCAGTTGCCTTGATTTATTTTTTACAGATACACAAGAGGATAGTTGTCAGCGAATAAGGTGTTCCATTCATCAAAGATCTCCCCTTTAGTCCTGCTCCAATGACAATGCAAATTTTTTTATTTCCCATCAATTTCAGTGCCAGTGACAATGGTCACCAAGACAAACAGAAAGTTAATTTCTCTAGCAGGGACAGGCAGCAATAAAAACCTCACCACAGAACAAAAAAAGAAAAATAAATTTCCTGTAGAAAAAATTTAAAGAGCATGTAAACCCTTTTTCTCTAATTGCATTTAGGGCTGCAACTAATTATTATTTTCATAATTGATTAGTTGGCTGATTATTCAATCGATTAATTCGATAAAAAAAATGAAATACCATCCTTAATTTAAAATAAAATACACTAATGCAGTGTTACAAACAAAGTTTACTTCAGAATAAAACTGCACGCACAATTTTTTGCAATAGCAATGCACTGGAATGCACGGCATTGCAGTACTGTGCGTTCCAATGCAGGCGATCACACTGTGGGTGGGAGGCGCGTTTGGGGTTCCATTAAAATAATTTATTTTTCTCACCTTTCATAATTTAAAAAATACATAAATTGTATTGTAAGCACATAGTGCCTGAATACCTTCAGCCAGGGAATGACAGCTGTCAGTGACAAGATTCTGCAGACGACAGTTGAATGTAAATACAGCAGGTAGTGGGCTGGTGCAATAACCAACCCTGCTATTGGCCATTTCAAACTGCAATAGCAGGCTAGCTATCCCATGCAGTCAGCTGCTGATAGGGGCAAACGTTAAAGCTCTCTGTCACACCGTTAAAGCTCTCTGTCACACCCAAGGTGGAGTTCGGTAGATAAGGGTGCTGATGAGGCAAGGTCAGCACAATATCCTGTTGTCTAGCCATGGATCAGACATACAGGGCTGACATAGCGGCTTTCAATTTTAGTGCAGTGTTATCAGCACATTATGGGATACTGTGGTCAGGCTGTATCTTTGGCACGTTCACCAGGTATGTTTTAATAGAAATAGCGGTCCGGGAGAAAAATTATGCAAGTCACATCATTAAGTAACTTATGTATCAAACAACAAAAATAGATTTTTTTAAAAACAAAAAAAGCAGTTCCGTTTGTTTTTTTTCTGCTAAAATATCATATTAAATGGCTAATGCTTGTAGCTACCAAGTGCTTATATAAAGAAAAGAAAAGCTTATATATGCATCCCTAGAATGTAAAAGGGTTTAACAATATATAGTTTTGATTTATTATTGCACATGTAGTGCAGAATAGCAAATAAGCTAATTTAAGATTTAGGTGCAAAAGTTTATATATCATACTGTAAACAATGGAAGGAGGCACAATGGGTACAGGTGGAAGGCTATTTTCTCTAAAATGCAGAACATCTCTTTAGGAAGATGTATTATTGAAGGCCCTTATGTTTTCATTCTAACATGTATCTAGTATTAAACATTAAATGTAAATCTTCATGTTAGACTCTGGAAGCCTCCCTACACTCAGTATATCTGAATCATTTGCATTCTATCAGCTCATCTTTTAGTATAAGTTGCCCTTTAAAGTGGGCTAGCAGAAGCCAGACAAACTATTGTCTCTGGAGATTCGGGAGGTTAAAGCAGGTGCTGGCTTAAGTGGATGCCTCACACAGTCTTAGATAATGCCTTCCTGATATCAGATCTATACTTCAGGCAGTGGCAGACTCAGGGGGAACGAATCGGAGAAATAAATCCACTTTACCTTTCTTCCTTCAAGATGGCATCATCAAATACCCTGGAGAGGCGTTTTAGCTGCAGGATTCCTGCTGAGACGGTTTCTAGGTCTTTGTCGAATTTTCTGCAAAAAATATATTAATAAAGTTTTAAAAAACCATTGAAACAAGAAAGAGATTTCAATATTTAAAGTGAAAAGCATAAAAATTTCCTTTGGGTCTGACCACATGAGAGGTGTGATCTAATGCCATTTGTAATATATATCAATTGCAATAGTCTAGTGGTCTCATGGTCACCATGAAAGTTGGTTTGATGCAAGTAAAATTACATCTAACCACCGTCTAGCTGCAGTTAGTGTAGCCATAGAAGACTGTTAACCAACATAGTGGGCAGTTGTATGTGCTTACACAATATTTCCCAAATGCTTTATAAAAGCAGACCTAAGCTCAAACTACAACTATAGATACTTTCTCCACCTAACCACTATGTTAAAGTGACACTATACTCAGGAGTTAAATCTAAAAAATGCATTCAAGTACCTTAACTATGAACACAAATGTGTCTTATTTGTGTATCACTTAGCTGTAGATCCTCAAATCATCTCTGAATTGGTGCGGATACTGTCCTTCCTTCTGGAGGGTGGCTACTTTTGTTTCCCATATCCCCTGTGTGTGTTGTAAACTAGGCACTGTTTCAAACTTGCTCCCATGATGGATTACAATCTCATGTCCAGTTAGTTAATTTGTACTGAAATTATAGTCCATGACAGGAGCGAGTTTGGAGCGGTGGCTACTTTACAACACACACAGGGACCATGGGAACAAAAGTAGTCACCCTCCAGAACGAAGAACAGTGTCAGCATGAATTTAGAGATGATTTGAGGATCTACAGCGTGAGTGATACACAAATAAGATACCTTTTTGTTAATGGTTAAGGTACTTGGATAATTTTTAAGATTTAACTCCTGAGTTTAATGTCATTTTAAGCTAGTACAAACACTTCCAGGAATTGCAAAAACACTTGCCGTTCAAGGATCTTGCACCTTTCAATGCCTTTCAGCAGTTCAAAGCCCAAGTTGGGGTCATGGGTAGGATCTGTGTACAGGCAGAAGTAGACAACTAGGCACTCTAACTGCACACACATACCAGCCTCAGCTCAGAAGAAGTGAGAGCAGGGAATAGCTAGTTATATGTACCTACCATATCTAATGTAAATCAGGTCCTACGTAGCGGCATAGTGTCCTAATCTAATAATGTGTTTAATAAGTAATAGATCTTGTCTTATATGCCTGAACATCAGCTTTATTTAAATGGTGCCAACATGTTTTAAGCACTTGAACACACCTAAGAAAGACACCCAGCATGACAAATCAAGCTAAAAAAATAATAAAGCATAAATTATAAAATAATGCTGCTTCTGGAAATATATTAAAGGAAAATTATGGGGACAGTAAAATACGCTCATCCCCATAATTAGAGCCGACGTGTGACACTGAAGCTGTGACACGTTGGTTCTATTGATCGAGAACTGAGCTATCATATAACGCTGATCACTCAGTTACTGATCGTCTCCCTGCAGAGAGCGGTGACCCTCAATCACCTCTCCCCGCAGGGATTCCCTTTGTTCCTCCAGCGCTGACTGGAGCGATGGGCGGGGTAGGGGCGGGCACAGCTGGCTCGGACTCTAGAGGCAGCAGGGTGTATCCCGACAATATTGTCGGGATCCGTCCCGGCTGCAGTGGTGCTCTGTCAGAATATAGCAGGCAATAGCCTGTTATATGCTGAGTTTTGGGTCACAGGAGGACATTATTATATGTCCTCCTGTAACCCTAAAAAGAACTATGGCCCAAAAAAGTTGGGCCATAGTTCTCTTTTAAATAATGAATTGTGAATTTATTAGGCTTTAAAATCTATTTTTGTCTTTGGGATCCCTGGGGTGAAGGTCTGGTATTAGTTTGTAGAACACTTTACAACATTTTAAGTTATTGTTTACTCAAAGTTTTCCATTAAATTCCCCAATATTAATATCTTCAAATGTCTTAGATATATAATGAATTCTGGAAGGAGATATCATTAACGGGGGGAGGGGAGGATTAGATAAGTGGTTAATAAATGTGGTAACAAAATACTTTCCAGTCAAAAGTACACAATCTTAAGTGATCTGGTTTACTTGCACCAGTTTGCAATACATCTGAAAGTTAAAGAGAATCTGTGACAGGTTTTCTTGTTGGAAGAACCCCTCACCCACTTATACTCCCCCACCACTCTATTGCAGCACTTATATATCTGCTCCTTCCAGGTGTAGGAGTGATTTACCTCCTCACAGTATGCAGTGCTTGAGCCTAAGCAGTCAATCATCAGGCCCTGACTGACACTCTCACACACGAGGAAGGAAGAAATGAACCCCGTTTAAGCAGCAACATTTCGGAAATAAAGCTTACACAGTATTAGAACTATAAAAACTAAAATGGAAAATCTCTACAATGAGTGGCATAAATTTCACTGGTATGCACCCCTCTATTCCAGGCTGGTTAGCTACTCAAAACTTCAGTGTCCTATTGGTAAAAGCTCCAGAAAAAATTGAGAAATTTCAGGAGAGGTATTCCATCCACACTTGTAAAACATTTTAATACATAATCAAACTATTAATTTGTCACAAACCTTCTCCTGCTAACTGTTACAGGTGAGGCATATGGGCTCTTCAGGGAAGCAGCTCGAACAGACCTCCGCAGGGTAAGACCTTCATTTACAACCAAGCTAGAGAAGTTTCTCCACTGAGAGCTGCTTGCTCTTCTGCTAGAAGGAGAAATCCTCCTGGTGGACTTGGGTGTCACCCTCATATTTGGACTGGCTTCCTCTATCAGCCTGCGACATCTAGGAGTTCTGGGCGTTGAATATTTCTTATTACTTCTGGGAGTACGGATTTCTTTCTTTGAACCTTTAAATTGTTGTGGGGAAGCAAGTAAGTAATTACTTGACTTCTGTCCTGATTTCTTTATCTTCTGCAAAATGAAACAAATATATAAATTATAAGCTTCCACTAGCCATTTATTATTACACAGTAATTACAGCCAACCAACGTGGATTATCATGTAAAGCTACCTTAGGGTACCTATATACAAAAGGTAATGTTAACCAGGATTGTGGCCAGTTCATCAGTTTCCTAGAAACGATTATTTCATAAATATAAGTGACTCTCTACTGAGAAATATTTTACAAGATATAGATGTGATAAGTCCAGTATAGAAATGATACTTCCAGGTGTAGGAAGTGTGTAGTGTGTGTACTTGTCCTACTGATGTGGAAAAACGTATTGTTCATACAATGGAAAACTATCGACGATTCCATTACCATAGATCGCCTAGTAATAACCTCAGAAGTCACCCCAACTTCCCTAATGACAGTAAAAAGAAACCTGGTTGGTTTCTATTGTTTTACAACACTTTACAGGTCCGTATTGTTCCCTGGATGGCACGGAGTTTGGATAGTTTTGGATAAATTCTAGAAGTAACCCATTATTTCACATTGGTAGAAATGCTTCATTATGCAGTATAATGAGTTATATACTTTCAACTACTTTTTTCATACCAGTGAAGATTTTCTTTTTAGTTCTCATTGTATACACATATAAAGTTTCCAAGACGTATCCCATAATCCCACTGCTGAGCTTTGCTTGGCTGCCTTTGGTTCGGAGAGCAATTTGTACTGCTCTTTTTCTTTTTTTATGTGCCTGCTAAAGCATTGCTAGTCTGAACATCTTAAGGGATTATTTCCTCACACAGTCCTTTGTTGAAGAGACTTCAATATATACAACTGAATGAGGATATAACCGATACTATCAAATACCTGAAGGTTAAAAATAATGTGGTACAAGAAGAAAGAGAGGCCTTAAATTGTGGATTTCAAAATATTCAGTGGGTTTAGGGAGTTGCATTCAATATTTTTTCCAGCTACAAAAGAATCTGACAGTAAATATTATTAACAACTCTAAAAGAAGTCGAAGAAGCACGACAGTTCTTCCCTAATGGCCAAACTAAGATGACTTTTGCTTTGACCACAGAGCGTTAAGAAAACTTCCACATGAAAGTAGAACCTGAAACAAACCACATCTGGTCACAAATAAGAACGTAATTATAAGGAGGCTGTTGGAGCTAAAGTGAACAGAAACATGGATAATTATTGGATTGACTCTTAAAATAGACCTGAATGCAAAAAGTAAAGATTTGCTATCTTGTAGGAAACATCCCCCAAAATGGACCCTTTGCCTGGAATTGCTCCTGAGAAATAGTGGTGCACTTCTTGTACTCCTGTGCCATAAACCCCATAGCGGTGTATCTGTAGTGCGAGATCCTCTAAAGCCTTGGTTCTCAACGTGACTCAAAAGTGGGCCGCGACCCCGTGTTCAGTGGGTCACTGCATGCCTTCCACTTTTCTAGGTAAGAGGCTCCATAGCCTCCCCCAAGCGCAACACTGTCAGTTCTCACACAAAGCAGCCATTCAAAACATGCTGCCCAGTGCCGAATGTCAGCTTGAGGTGGGGTGGGATGGGGCTATGGCCGCAAGCCAGCTCCATCCATATGCACATTGCTTACAGCTCCCTCACGTGTCCTGCATAGGTGCCTGGACCTGAGTGACGGCACATTCTGGCTCCCGCCACCTCTACAGGGTGCGTAAGGGAGCTGTACAAGTAATGCACATATGGATGGAGCTCCATCACAGCATAGCAGCCCCCACTGGACCCCAGGCTGAGGATCCATTCCAGTTCTGGATAAGATAGGAATACTGGGCAGAGCTTACAAAAAGATTTAGGGGGAGTGTGTCTGAGTGTTTTTGAGGGCCTGTTCACACTATTACAGTGCGGTAATTAACACACTGTACCGCGCACCTACTGAGAATTCTGGTGTGGGAGGTGTGTTGCATTGCCATTCATTTGAATGGCACCCCAAATGCACCTCCCACCCACAGTTCAATCACCTGCACCAGAACGCGCGGTACTGCAATGCCGTGCATTCCAGTGCGGTGCGGCTTGGGTCATGACTCAATGACAAAGAACAATAGTGGGTCCTGAGGTTGAGAACCACTGCTCTAAAGCACCATGCTTCTGACTGGCTATTATCACACGATTTGATCATGTTTTTATTGCATTTAACCCCCGCTTCATTCATGTGATCTCCGTTTCCTCCACATCTTATGTTGCTTGATTATTCACCCAGTTATCAGATCACCAGTGGGTCAGCTCTGACATGAGGAAGCTCTGCCCCTCTACCTCTAAGATGTCCACCTTAACACAGTGCACAACAAGGCATGGTAAGTCAGCAAACAAAAAAAAACAAACATCAGCTGTATGGAGTCTACAGGCAATGCTTGTGACTAGTCCTTTGCCTTCTGCTTGGCTTTTTTCTGGGCAGCTTTCATAATGAAGGTCTTTTTTAAGGACTAATTAAAAGGAAAACTGTACTCATGGAGGCTGCCATTGATTACTTCTTCTGAAAATGCTAGTTGAAAAGCTGTTCTCCTGAACCAAGTGCTTCACAGTTTTATGAGGCACAGACCTGGAACAAGTTGTCAGATCAGCAATTTCGGCCTAATTTAACTCAGGGGTTGATAAATTGGTATGGAATTCAGCAGCCGGAAGGAATATTTTACTTTAGGAGCCAGCTTAATTTACAACTAGAGAAGACCTTAAAAAGGCGCCAGCTGTGATTTTTAAAGAGCATTGGCTACCCGGCTCCCGGGATTTGTCCAGCCCTGCTTTAATGTTTAACTCAGGCAGCGGACAGTTCTTAAAAACCCTCAGTACTGGGCTGGAGATACATGACTGGCTTAAAAGATTACAACACATTCACATGGATGTTGGATTAGATCATAAAATAGCTGTTCAAAGTACAACTTTTTTAGTTTTCAACATAGCGGAGGAAGGGATCTCTCCAGCAGGACTGCAAAAAAAAAGTTCTCAGTAAAATGGGAAAAAAGTTACAATGCATATTAGGTTGTTACAACTGTTTATGTCTTCCTGTCCAGGAAATCAGTTGAATTAATTTAAACCATGTAATACCTATTGATCTTATTATTAAAATATAATTTTTATTGAGATAAAAAGAAAACTGGTCACAAACAGTGGATGGGAGGAAAATATTTGTTCTACTATGGATAACCCCTACTAAGGTCTAGCTTTCTGAACAGAAGTTTTTCTCAATACTACCCATGGTTTGTGTGCAAGTCAAATGCATCTTTTTTTAACAAGGGGCAGCAGAGATGAATCTGAAAGCTTTAGAATTTTTAATTCACAAGCACTCTAAATGTGACAAGCATATTCTTGTTGTACTTGAGACAAGCAGCCAGACATCCTTATCTGTGCTCCAGTTTATAGCTCCTTCAGCTTTTGCAAGAGATATTGAAGGAGGAAAGATTTCTACAAAAAGGTTATCAAAATAACTGATGCATTCCATGAATACTTAACATTTTCCCACCCAGAGTCTTAGTGAGAGCAGTCTGTGCTGGGTTGCTGGGCGGAATGTTTCTTAAGCAATTATGGGAAGGGGAAATGATTTGCTACAGAGAATGTTAGATTTTAGATCACTGGTCCTGTACTAAGTCCTCTCAGCTACCTTTAAGACTCCTGTACATGGGCATTGGACTCAGAAGCAAGTCAGATACCGTTGTTTTGACTTCCTTCTGAAAAAGCTCAGTTTGCCTTTGTGTTGCTCAAGGAGTTTTGAATTTATGTTGACTTGTATGGAGATAAAAAGCAATTTAGACAAGAATAAAAGCCCACGTATATGAGCCCTTAAAAGTGACCATCTCATGCATGCAGCTTTCAAAATGCAAGGTAATTCTAATCATGCAAAGACTTGGAACTTCTGGGTAAATGTCAGACATTCATGCTCCCTCTCTCTCTCATACCATTCCACTGGCTCATCACTATGATGGGCTGCCACACTTGCCAACAGAAATGTGCAGGAAGTGGGAAGGCCAAGCTTTGCCTAATTAGTAGGTCCTGGCATTTTGGTACAGCGAAGGAACTGAAAGTTGTTGCAGGTACATGCATGCATTTTATATCTGTCAGCAGCTTTACTTTGATGTAGGGATGCAGCAAAATTTCCCCCAAAATTGGTCACTATACCAGAATGACTTGTAATGAACTTCTTCACTTCAGGTTTGAAGATAGTCTACTAGTTGGCATTTCTCTATTTGGCTTGTGAGTTGATAACATTTGGAAATGTCTGAATACTGAAAAATGGCCTGGCCAGGAAGGGGGTCTAAACACCTGGTCTTGAAGTGGTTAAATCCAGATGGGCTGTTTTCTCATTTAAAGAAATTGTTAACAATACATACATTTTTTGTAACCAAGTATTTATTGGGTTTTCAAAAATGAAACAATCAGCAGTTTACATAGTATTCACCGGCCACAATGGCAATATAATGAATTCCATAAATGTCAGTGCAAATACGATGTACAAATATCATTGCGGCATAAAGTAAAAATGAAAAAGGGGGAGGGGAAAGAAGGAAGGGAATCAGGGAAGGAGTCCATCGGTCGGTCTTCCTCGGTGAATAGTTTCGGGATTGTTCCACATATCCACAGGTCTCGACCAGTTGCTCCCGTATGTGGTCCCCCCTCAACTCATTTGACCATATCACAGGCGGCTGAGGGTATTGATATCTAGATCGGGGTGGTTATGTTTTAGCCAAGGTTCCCAGATGCTGAGAAATTTGGAATGTGTATCATTAAGTACACTCGACAACCGTTCATTTATAAGAATATTATCTAGTCTATGCGTAAACTCCCGGTAAAGGATAAATTGTTTTTTCCAGTGTCCCGCTAGGGTTAGTTTGGCAGTGATAAAAATTTGGTGTGCCAGTGCACGCTGGGATTTAGACAATTCGGGCACTGAAGCATGAAGCAGCGCCTGTGTCGGGTTTTTAGCGATGGTCCTATCAAATAGAGTCGAGAGTAGACGGAATATTCTGGTCCAAAACCGGGTTGCAAAGGGGCACGACC